ATTTCCATGCAATAGGTGTAAACAGCTTGGTCCTACAGCTGTACGCCGGTGATTGTGACGGTGACGAAATCAACATATATTGCCCGATTGATAATGATATTGGGGGAGAAAGTCACGTCTACGACAACTTGCGATCGGACAAAGACGGCAGCTTCCACGTTAATCTCCACGGTGATCTGATGCTTGGTATCTTCAAGATGTGCCGTCATAGCGGGTTTACAGAGTAGGAAATGCAGTACTTGTCAGAGGATATGCGTTCTAACAAGTAGATTAAACCTAGTCGAAAGTCTGGGCTTTACTCTGGTAAAGACATTTTCTCTTTTGTATTACCAGATAGTCTGTACATGGAAGAGGATAATCTACTTATAAAGAGAGGGAAGCTTCGAGAAGGCGAAGTAAATAAAGGCAATCTTCAGAAAGTCCTTTTGGCGAGCTCTTGTATTCTCACCCCTAAAAGATAACTTCTGATGCTACAGCAACTGCAGCTCATGTCCTAAAGGTACAACGATAGGTTCGGTTGCTGTACCTTGGGCCTTGATGACTATGTCATAAACTCCGAAATGAAGGACACGCTGACCACCATCAGACATCAGAAATATCAGGAAGAAAAACGGCGCAACATCATTTAGGAACTGCATGAGTATCTTACTGAAGGAACGGCTAATTTCCCCAAGTCTTTGAAAGAAAAGTTCGAAAAGGCAGTGGAGGGAGTTGAGGAAAAAGCTCGTTTCGGAACCATTCTCTCCAAAGCCGCCAAGTATAATGAAAAATATGGATCCCATTTTTGTCAGGAAACGTTGCTTAGGGTAAAGGAGGATTATTCCGCCGCAGACAATCGCGAAGACTTCATTAAGAGCGAAATCCTGTAGCCAAAGATGAAAGGTGGCTTCTATGCAGAGGAGATTAGCGCCTTTAAGGAGAGCCTCCCGGAGAGCAACAATCTGAAGCAGATATTAGACTCGGGAGCAAAACCATTCCCGGAGAAAATGTTAATGACTATGGGCTGGTTGGGTCACGATCAGGTATTAGACACTTCCGATTTTGAATCAAATGAAGGGTCGTGGGAATGTTATGCTAATGGATTGGACTTCAATTCAGTTTGCTCAATGTCTACAAAGGCCTGGACCAATGCATATAAAAGGCATTGTTCCACCGCAGAAACCGGTTACCTGTACCGACGTCTTATGAAACTGTTGGAGGACGTTTGCATTCATCCCGACGGCTCAGTGCGGCTGTCGGATAGCCGCATAATTCAGAAGTCTTATGGCGACGGCTTCCGCTGTAGCCAGACCCAGCCCGTCTCCCTCAGGATTGGCGCTTTTGACGAGGAAGAGAAACGGGAATTCAAGGACTTTGCCAAGTCACTCTCAAGGGAAGACAGTCAGTCCTGGAAGGATGAAGTAGCGCAGATGAAGGAAATGCGGAAAAATATAGATCTGGATACATCTGAGGGAAATACAGCGCGAATTCGCTCACCTCTGTGTATAAAACAGGTTGTATTAGCTCATAGCAACAGCATTGAAAATGGAACCGGTCTTTCTGTCCGAAAAAAGAATACAATGCTATAGAAAAAGCTAAAAGATATTATTATTCTTGGTACTACGGAGGATAGTTTAGTCCGCGACGATCCCTCATTCAGGTTTGAGTTTAAATGCTACGTGCAACAGTAGCTTTCTTCCCATGTGGTCATTGGGAAATACAGTATGTGCAAGGAGGAATTCGAGAATGTGCTCAAGGGTATTGAAGATAGGTGCCGGGCATCTATAGCTCAGCCTGGCACACGGGTAGGCCTCCTTGCAGCCTAGTCACTGACGCAACCTCTGACACAAAGCATGTTGGACGCTACCCACACGAGCGGCAAAAAACAGAGTAGCGTGTTTGCTCAGATCGAGAAACTTTTAAACATGCAGGATGAAACTCTGATAAATGTCAACAAGACAGAAGGATTTGAGGCAGCCAAGAAATATTTGGAGAGGGAGCTGTACAAATAGTATGCCATGTCTGGAGAGGATATTGACAAAAAGCACATCTAGGTTGTGGTAGATTTCTTATCGCTCGGCGGCCAGCTGAGTGGGCTGACGAGATTCACTCTACTGAAGAACAGCTAGCATTACATGAAATCCGTGTTTTTTGAACAGCCCTTGCTTCCATTGGCAATCCAGGCCTCTACCTGCACGAACGATCCTCTTCTCGGTTTGACCGAGAATTTTGTCTTCAATAAAGAGTGTGGGCCTATTTTCAAGGGGCATCAAGGCGCCACTTCTGACGCAGAGGAAGGTCGAGTTTCTAAGAAGGCCAAGAGGAGGGATCCTAAAGAAAAAACTAAGGTGAAGGCCAAGAAGAGGCCTCGTGACGCCAGAAGATCGGTTTCTAAGAAGGCCAAGAGGGATCCTGAAGAAAAAACAGGCCTCTTCAGAGGTGAAGCAAGAGAGGCCTCGTGACGCAGAGGAAGATCGAGTTTCTAAGAAGGCCAAGAGGGATCCTGAAGAAAAAACAGGTGCCTCTTCAGAGGTGAAGGCCAAGAAGAGGCCTCGTGACGCAGAGGAAGATCGAGTTTCCAAGAGGGATCCTGAAGAAAAAACAGGTGCCTCTTCTGAGGTGAAGGCCAAGAAGAGGCCTCGTGACGCAGAGGAAGATCGAGTTTCTGAGAAGGCCAAGAGGGATCCTGAAGAAAAAACAGGTGCCTCTTCAGAGGTGAAGGCCAAGAAGAGGTCTAAGAAGGCCAAGAGGGATCCTGAAGAAAAAACAGGTGCCTCTTCTGAGGTGAAGGCCAAGAAGAGGCCTCGTGACGCAGAGGAAGATCGAGTTTCTGAGAAGGCCAAGAGGGATCCTGAAGAAAAAACAGGTGCCTCTTCTGAGGTGAAGGCCAAGAAGAGGCCTCGTGACGAGAGGGAAGGACTGAGAAGGCCAAAGGGATCCTGAAGAAAAAACAGGTGCCTCTTCAGAGGTGAAGGCCAGATGACAGAGGGATCGTTCTAGAAGGCCAAGAGGGATCCTGAAGAAAAAACAGTGCCTCTTCTGAGGTGAAGGCCAAGAAGAGGCCTCGTGACGCAGAGAAGATCGAGTTTCTAAGAAGGCCAAGAGGGATCCTGAAGAAAAAACAGCCTCTTCTGAGGTGAAGGCCAAGAAGAGGCCTCGTGACGCAGAGGAAGATCGAGTTTCTAAGAAGGCCAAGAGGGATCCTGAAGAAAAAACAGGTGCCTCTTCAGAGGTGAAGGCCAAGAAGAGGCCTCGTGACGCAGAGGAAGATCGAGTTTCTAAGAAGGCCAAGAGGGATCCTGAAGAAAAAACAGGTGCCTCTTCAGAGGTGAAGGCCAAGAAGAGGTCTAAGAAGGCCAAGAGGGATCCTGAAGAAAAAACAGGTGCCTCTTCTGAGGTGAAGGCCAAGAAGAGGCCTCGTGACGCAGAGGAAGATCGAGTTTCTAAGAAGGCCAAGAGCGGATCCTGAAGAAAAAACAGGTGCCTCTTCTGAGGTGAAGGCCAAGAAGAGGCCTCGTGACGCAGAGGAAGATCGAGTTTCTAAGAAGGCCAAGAGGGATCCTGAAGAAAAAACAGGTGCCTCTTCAGAGGTGAAGGCCAAGAAGAGGCCTCGTGACGCAGAGGAAGATCGAGTTTCTGAGAAGGCCAAGAGGGATCCTGAAGAAAAAACAGGTGCCTCTTCTCAGAAGGGAGGTCTAAGAAGGCCAAGAGGGATCCTGAAGAAAAAACAGGTGCCTCTTCAGAGGTGAAGGCCAAGAAGAGGCCTCGTGGAGCTGAGAAAGCCAAGAGGGATCCTGAAGAAAAAAACAGGTGCCTCTTCTGAGGTGAAGGCCAAGAAGAGGCCTCGTGACGCAGAGGAAGATCGAGTTTCTAAGAAGGCCAAGAGGGATCCTGAAGAAAAAAACAGGTGCCTCTTCAGAGGTGAAGGCCAAGAAGAGGCCTCGTGACGCAGAGGAAGATCGAGTTTCTGCAAGAGGGATCCTGAAGAAAAAACAGGTGCCTCTTCTGAGGTGAAGGCCAAGAAGAGGCCTCGTGACGCAGAGGAAGATCGAGTTTCTGAGAAGGCCAAGAGGGATCCTGAAGAAAAAACAGGTGCCTCTTCTGAGGTGAAGGCCAAGAGGGATCCTGAAGAAAAAACAGGTGCCTCTTCTGAGGTGAAGGCCAAGAAGAGGCCTCGTGACGCAGAGGAAGATCGAGTTTCTGAGAAGGCCAAGAGGATCCTGAAGAAAAAACAAGCCTCTTCGCCCAAGAAGAGTAGGGATCCTGAAGAAAAAACATGCCTCTTCTGAGGTGAAGGCCTCTTGACGCAGAGGAAGAGGTGGAAGCGCCAAGAGGGATCCTGAAGAAAAAAACAGTGTGCCTCTCTTCTGAGGTGAAGGCCCAAGAAAGAGGCCTCGTGATGCGCAGAGGAAGATCGAGTTTCTAGAAGGCCAAGAGGGATCCTGAAGAAAAAAACAGGTGCCTCTTCAGAGGTGAAGGCCAAGAAGAGGCCTCGGACGCAGAAGGAAGATCCGAGTTTCTGAGAAGGCCAAGAGGGATCCTGAAGTAAAAAACAGGTGCCTCTTGAGGTTTTGCCTCTTCTGAGGTGGCCAAGAGAGGCCTCGTGACGCCAGAGGAAGATCGAGTTTCTGAGAAGCCAAGAGGGATCCTGAAGAAAAACAGGTGCCTCTTCTGAGGTGAAGGCCAAGAAGAGGCCTCGTGACGCAGAGGAAGATCGAGTTTCTGAGAAGGCCAAGAGGGATCCTGAAGAAAAAACAGGTGCCTCTTCTGAGGTGAAGGCCAAGAAGAGGTCTAAGAAGGCCAAGAGGGATCCTGAAGAAAAAAGTTTGTGATTGAGAGGGATCCAGAAGACGGAAGTTGATTTCTTGAAAAGGCCGAGAGGGATCCAGAAGACGGGGGAAGCTGAAAAGGCGAGAGGATCCTGAACCTGCCAAGTCGCCCAAAAGGAACCTAATAAAAATAAAAAAAATAAAAAATATAAATAAAATAAAATATAATATATAATATATATATATACACAT